CCTCATCAGGTTTTATCAAATCACCATAATGTTTTTGGATAAAACTACAAACATCTGTCATAATATCAATATAATAAGCACAGATTCTCATAAGACTTTTTGATTTAAGACATCTTGATGAATAAAATAGAATAACAAAAGGATAAATGTCATGGGGACTACAACAGCTCCAAAGATAATTTTTAGCATGTCATTCTAAGCAGAGCATAAAGGTACTGGAAAAGGAAGGAAGATTAAGGGGTAGAAGGGCTTTCCCCTCTTCTCTCTCCTCCCTCCTGCTCTGAGCACTAGCAACAGCAATATGACCACTGTTGGTCATATCAGGCTTTTGCAAATGCTTAGGACTTCTCGAATATCTTTCCTCCATTCACTTTGCAGTAGAGTAATCAAAAGACCCAGAGACCTACTATACTGAAGGTTGTATAGACAAGAAGTATTTAAGTACTTTTCAAGTAAAAAGTTACAATAAGGCCTGAAAAACAGCAGTAAAAACTTTAATGAAGTTTGCTCTGTTTACCTCGTAAAATATGTTTGATCTCAATCTATCAGAAAAATTATGGAAGGCACAGAAATTTTAGAACAAGGATATTCGGCCTACTGCTCCAATACAAAATAGGAAATTGTAGCTAGACCAGAAATAAAAGATAAGTTTTTAATGGCTACAGTGATTAATGAGCTGGTAACCAAAGGCTGTGGCTACCAGTGTTTCCAGTGATCATCCATTATTAGAAATTATCAAATCAGGAATGAATATTAGTAAAGGTGCACTCTTATGCAAGCAGGAATTAAACCATTCTAGTCTTCTGTTTCCTGGCATTGAGACTGGATGAGTGAGTACATTTGTTCCTAAAGCCTTAATGATACCCAACATTTTAGGCAGAAGAAGCCACAGAGGTTCCTACAGAGGCATTTGAGGATCATGGGACATGGTTTCTCATCATTGGATGAGACATCTGGAATTTAATGAAAGTTCAGACATTGTCTGCTGTGTTGGATGCAAGCCCAGTGATAGGACAGGACAGGCAAACAGTCTTGTTGAGTGACCCAGAATATTTCCAAATTCCCCTAACATAACATCCCCCTTGCTATGGGGCTGAGGGACTGGTTTTAATAATGTGATTGACACATATCATACTGTGGAAGGCCGTGGCTTCCTCAGGAAACTGGGGAGAGGAGAAAATAAGCAAGATGCTCTGAGTCATCACCCGCCTGTCTTTGAGATGGGCATGAAGTGCAACCTGCATTGCTTTCACTAGTAGAGTGCTAACTGGGAACTCCTGCCTGTATCTATGAGGATGAGGATTCAGGACTCCTTTCTTAACGCCATCACTAATTTAATGCAGAAGACAGGTAATTAGATGTCCTTTGTAGAGGCATCCTGAGATTAGTCCTATAAAACCAATATCTGAAAAGTTTTTTGATCTATTATTTTATATCAGAATATTTATGATCAATGTATAAGTGATATAGAATGATACTCTGTTCTAGCTTTTCAGTGAAGTTGCTGCTGGGTAATAGCTGATACCCTTTCTGAAAGCCAAAGAACAACAGTGTCTCTATCCTGCATAAGGAGTTGGACTGAGATTTTGTAAGTGGAGTATACTTGGCCCAGAAGGATGTTAAAGCAGTCTTGTTTATCTTCACTGCACACATTTTTTAGTAAAGATTTGCTGTTGGGAGATGCAAAAGACTCAAATATAAGCAAGCATTTTATGAAATTATTAAAAGCAAACTCTATTGTCAATATCCGGTTTATAATTTCCCTGTGATTAATTATCCTTATACATCTTACTCACCCGAATAGCTTATGAGCTTTTCTGACTGAGTTTGGGTTTTTTCCCCAGTCTTCCTGTTTCCATCTTAATTCCCAAATTTCTAGTGCACTTCCTTGTAGTAGTCTCCAGGGAGACAAAAGTAGAACATGAAAGCGGGAGCACAAAATCCAAACTGTTTCATTGCCCACTGTATGTAAAGTAAGACATAAGCAGCAGCTACTGATATAAAAGCTTTTAGAAGAAAGGTCAAGCTCTTTGGTAGTGACCAATGTGTTGTAGGAGAGGACTAGAAGATTATGTAATGTAGTATGCGATATTTTTGTTGTATATTTGTCTTGTGTGTTACCCAGAGGAGATAACAATAATAGATGTAGCATGAAGACACATTTCCTGGCATGAGCTTAGACACAGTAATGCCAGATAGTCCCAAATGGAAAAGAAAGGGATTTGTTGTCTTGACTATCCTTGTGAGACTAATCACTCTAATATTTTTTTTATGTGTGAGCTCCAAAAGTGTATATTTTTATGGTATATGCAATTTGTTATTAATATAAATACACTGTACTTCAATAATATGTAACTAATGTAAAGAAGCATGCTATTCTTACAGAAAAGAGTACACCTGGAATTATGGATTTAAATAGAAGGAAGAGAATTGGGGAGTATATATTTTGATTCAGCTGTGTTTGAGAAGGGTTTGAAAAACTTTTGTTCCTGGAAACAATGAGATACAAACCTGTTTGCATAGTTGATCTCTGGCCAGAAAGGATTCCTGTCAAGTGAAATATTAACCCATAAGGAATGCAGTTTCTTAGGGCAATGAGCTAATGGCTTCAAACAAACCTTTACTGCAGAGCTAGAGTGACCATTTAAAAAACATGTATGCATCCAGTGGTCTAGATGGCTGCCAGAGCATAACAGGATTACCCTATCTTTTAGCTATAGCTTACCTGTTTGTAATTGGCCTGGTTCTGTAGTGCTGAAAAGTAATTTCTAGCTGTATAGTGGCCAAATGTCAATTACTTTGGTTGTGTCATTGCTGCAGGCAGGTGTTCATATTATGCAAACTATCATAGCAGCTGGGAACTCTATTAGTAATTCTAATGTTTCAGGATAGAGAGAGAGTTCAAAGAATGTTTTCTTCCCTTTCTGTTCTGTGGAGCAGAGTCTCTTCTGGGACTAATGACCTTCCTAAGCAAGGTCAAATTTACACTGGATCCATGACATAAGAGGCATGAAAAGGGCAACATGACAAGCTCTGAGCCTGCTGAGGGTGATAGGTATCAAGTCCCAAACCTCATTCCTTTGCAGCAGGATGTGCTAGTTCTGCTAGTGAGTGCCAGGTTCAAGCTGCACTCGCTGAACCCGCCAGGTAGTTGCTGCTACAGGAAATGCTTTTTAGCTCCCGGGAGGCATTTGTGCTAAAATGCCAAAATACCAGTGGAACAACTCATTCCTCCTGTCAACTGAGAAAGGGCTAAGCCTCTAAAGCACAACCTAGACCATAATGTTCATGGTAAATTGTGTGTTTCCCTCCTTTTTTGTTTGCAAAGTATGACTTCCAGTCCATGGGCTGTGATGTGCTTTGCAGGTGTTTGTATGCACAGCTGGGGGAGGTCCAAATGTGCTGGACTCACAGCTGTGGAACAATTAAAAAAAAACCAAACACACAACTGTGTTCTCTGCAGAGTAAGTTTCTTCTTCTAAGCACTTTTCACTTCCCAGTGACTTGGTGGCACTATGGAGATACTAACAGTAGGACTGATTTGCTGCTTTTTATGCTGCTTTTTTTCAATCCACTCATAGGTTCTTGTAGATTCCTTAAGAACTTTTTGACTAGGAAGTTGTGGGGAGGGGAGATAGGAGGAGGTAAAGATTACATGCCAAATCCTACTCACTTGTGACACTGAAATGGGAATTTATTCATGGAAGGCATATGACCTTACAAGAAAAATGAAAGGCTTTATCAATAGCAATGTTAAAACTATCATTGCTAGGAAGCTGGGTTAATCCAGAAGAAAGGAGTGGCTCCCTTTACTGTGCTTTTATTTTTTTATTTCTCACAGTGTCATTCCAACATTCATTTCACATTGGATGAGTTTGCAGTCACAGCAGAAAGAGTAAGAAAATACTTTCTCTCAAGTTTCTTGTTGCACGAAATGTGTGACTGTAGCCTCAGAGGAGGACTGTTCTGGACAGTGTCCAGGAACAGTCTCAGCTCTCATTAAACACAGATCATTAAACATATTGCATGAAGAGTCACTGTGGCTGTCACATATAGTTAAGCCATGCTACTGCTGTTACTACTATGTAAAAGGTTACATTTTAGTACCATTACAATTTTGCCCACAAAAAGATGGAGAAAATGAACCAAAGCAGCCACTTTGCTTTCCCTAGATCCTTCCTATTTCATACCTGTTAATATTGACCTGTGGAGGGATTGCACTCCTCAGCAAATAACTTGTCAGTGGCTTACAGGCAGAGTTGATTGAAAACTCTGGCTACATGTATTTGTGGGCCTACGGTTTGTGTTGTTTTCAACGACAAGGAAAATAAGACTTCTAAGGGACTAATTCTTTGAAACACTAAACATTTCTGGCAAGGCCCTTTGAGTAGAAAGTGAGGACCTGATATTCTTGCAGCACCTAAGTGAATGTAGTTTTAAAAAGAGATAGAAGAGAGAAAATACAGCCTTAAAGGGGATTTGTAAATGCCTTCCCAACAGGAGGAGCTACTGAGCTCTTACGATAGCATCTAGAGTCTTCATAAGATCATCTTTCTGATGGAGTCATATGGAAAACAGCACATCAGACTGCCCCCTCTTCAGTTAGTGATAAAATTGCTGCTAAGCCCATGGACAGGATGGGTCCTGATGTGATGGAGATCACTGCTACTATTTTTAGTCTGTATTTCAATAGCTTCAGAAGTCTTAAGCAGGTCACATCTTGTCTCTCATCCCTATCACAGGAATCTTTGCTGTACTATCAGTTACTATATGTTTGAAGCTAGGATGCTGACTAGTTCCAGCCTTCTTCCAATGTGCTTTTGGTAATACACAGGCAGAGCATTTAGTTATGTGTGATACAAGTACACCTGGTGGTTAATGTTATTGCAGTACAACTAGTAGAAAAAGAATGCTTGAATAGAAAATCTCCTTCCTTTAAAAAAACAAACCCAAACCCAAAAAACCCAAACCACAAATACCCCTTACTGATTCCATGTTCCACTTCGCTAGTTCTGCTTTTATGTAAAAAAACCCCAGAACAGAATAAAAACCCCATCTCAAAAGAAACAAACAACCCTCCCTCCAAAGCCACAGTTAAGGTGATAAGGTGATTGATAGATAAATTAACCAATTGGATTTCAGCTTGCTTAGATCTATGTGATAACCCAGATCTTGTAAGTGGGAGCACTAACTATATGAAAACAAAAATCAAAAAAAAAAGAAAAGCTAAATTTTGAAGATAATCTGTCACCCCCAAATTTAAGGAAATGGCATCCTGTTGTTTTATCTTCATTATGACAGAAGATAAACAGATAATTTTATTTGTGATCCAAACAGAAACATATTCTGGCATCTGTTCTAGGCCAATAGTTGCTCTTGCTATGAACATGCTCACATTTTATTGCATTGGGCTATTTGCCACTTTATGTAAGCTACACCAGCTGCTCTTGCTCTTGCACCACAGATTACTGTATGCAGCATTCTGGTTTTCCCTAAAGCAGATAACGCTCTGTAAAATCCGGATAACTAAGTCTCTAGGAAGTGATTGTAAGTTATAGTAAAGCTGTGATAACTGAGAACAGAAACAGCCTTGAAGAACTGTACTAAAAAGCTGCTATGTCAAGGGAAGATTGTGATTGTGGGTAGCTGGTTTTGTTACTGTGCCTAATGTATGTTCTTACCTGCTACATTTTTTTCTACTATTTGCTCCTTTCCTTAAAATTGGCACACAATTAAGAGAAATAGTAATAATAAACCTAAACACTAAGAACATTTCTATTTTGATTTTTATGGCAATGAAATACATTGAAATCGGTTCAGATCTACTTGAAAATAAAGTCCCCGAATCCTCCTTGTTGCATTTCTGTGACAGGTTTCATGCTCTGTTTTCTTGGCAACCTTCTGCATGGAAAGCAACATTATGCAAATAAAAACTGAAATGCGAATCACAGAGGAAAAATATAACACAATTTTTCTTGACATCTTGGTGATATAGGATGGATTATGTTATCACAAAACTAAACCAAGTTCTTTTTCTGAGTTGTAAACTCTGCCTCACCTACATTTTAAAAACACTTTTCCTATGATTTGAATGCGACATGGCCACAAAATCATATTAATTCCAAATTTAGGAATGTCATGCTTAAGTGATAGTTGAACTTTGCTGGTTTTGACTAGGTATTGGTAATTCAAGCGCTCATGAGTACAAGGTTGTGTAGGCACTGCTGCTGCAGGAAAAAGTCAAAGTATAATTGGTCTGAGGGTGTGGAGAGAAGCAGCAGGGGATGCTGGTAGGGACAGTAAAAGCTCAACAGGGTTACGGAAACCTGCCAAATCTCTATCCTCACTGCAGGGAGCTCCTCATGCTGCCAGGCAGTAAGGAAAACAGATGGCTGCTGCTTTTGAAGGCACTAACATTCATTTCTGTGCCTGTTGTGTATTTTGTCCTCCTTCCCCTCAAGTTTCCAAGTCCTGCAGTAGCTCCTGTAGCAGTCAGCCATTGGCAGACATGTTGGAAGGCAGCCACGCAGGCGGGTGAGTTTCAGCTGAAGATGATGGTTGCTTTGTTTTGGTTTTCCTTTTCCCCAAGCTGCCTCCACAATTTGGCAAAGAGATGTCAGGATTAGAAATAGTGGGATTGCAGAATATGCCAGAGTCTATTAGAGAGAAAGAGGCAGAGCTATACTAAATGGGGAGATGGAGCAGTGCCAGCAGGAGTGTGGGCGTGGGGGTTTGGATGCAACTAGCACAGCCGGCCAAACATACCCTAACATGGACCCTTCACAGTTATGTGCTGAATAGTCCTCTCTATTTGTGCTTATTTTCAGTGGGGTGTAGCTGATACCTGTAGATGGGGCCTTGTTTTTTCCTCAAAACCAGCAATGATGTGGATCCTGTGAAGTCTGTAGCATGCATCGTTTCACAGAAGTCGTTTCACAGAATGCTCTAAATCAAATCTCTGTGTCTAAAAGAGAAGAACACGAGATGGAAAAAAAATTTATGTTTAAGTTTGTTTCCAATGTATTTCACTTACTCTGAAGGATTGTAAGACTGTTTTTTCCCTTAGCTTTCTGGAACTTTTAATGCATTTGTATGCTATTGCGAAGAGTAATAAAGCAGTGGTTTGAAGGAAGACAGAAATGTGTAGGATGCTTAATTTTAATTGTATAATATCACTAAGAGAGCTCAAAGAAAGAAGCGGGCTCGGGCTGACTTAGCAAGCCTATGAAATATACGTATGGATTGACATGAGGAGGATGATGGCACGTGGCTGACTTGTCACCTACCTGAGAGGAAAAAATCTGCCCTTGTGAAGGTTTTCTGACTGTTGGTCTCAACCAATGAGTGATTCATGCTTTTAACAGATGTTTCTGATTTAGGCCAATGAAAGCTTATGGGAGCTTTTTCTTGTCTCTGAGGGAAGAGCGCCAGCCCAATCCAACAAGCAAATTTGGAGCTTGGCATTTCAATTTATTAGCAAAGCTGGATCATTTCCTCTTGCAGAAGCTGTGTGCCATCATTATTCTATGACACCATAAAAAATTGATAATTAGTACTGACTTGTTATTTTTGCCATCTCGTGCACTTAATCATTTAGCCACTATTGTTGTCTACCAAGTTAGACACTAAAGCCACTTATTCAAAAGGTCTGTCTGGCTTGTCCAAAATAGCTCACAATTCCCAAACCAGCAAAATATGTTGCATACAATTACTCATGGAGCTGCCCCAGCTACATGAGTAATTGTAGCAAATATTTCTAGACGCACAGCCACAAAACAAACTCAAGATGGCTCTGTGTTAGCCAGGATTTGCCTTTTTAAAATTATTGCTAATGTCATTAACATCATAAAGCAAAGTAATGGGACTCTCTGGCAGAGGCCAAACACAGCAGAAAGGATCTCAGTCAGTAACATAATGTAACAATAAAACCAAATTCATGGGGTTGGTAATCAGAAATTATATCTTGATTTTTATCAGCTACATAATTACTGCAAATTTTCATCAAATTTCATCTGCATGATGCTCAAGTCCAGTATTGCTTGGCTTTTAGATTGGCACGGCATAATGTATAATTTGTTTCATACCTACCTTGTATAATAGCTGAAAATCAGTGACATTTCTGGAAGACACAAAGTTTCATAATATAAAAAAATCTATACAGTGAATCAGCCTACTCTTTAGAATATTCAAAAGTGACTTGATGGCAAATGTTTACATGGAATTAGTGGGAGTCCCAAGAGACTGTTCCTGTCTCCCCATCATGCTGTGTGACAGTTGCCAGTTCATGGGGTTGGAGAGCAGTTTGCTTCATTTGCTTCCTCCACACTGCTGCTGCATCTCACCCTGAATTTGTCAGAAACCACTTCCCAAAAAAAACCAGATGTCAAAATTTGACAATATTTCATGTATTTCACTTATGTTAGTCACTATATCCACACACTCTTTTGTGGGGATATTTGGAAGCCAAACTGAAACTAAGTGTAAGGTCTTTAAAGCAGATCAACAAATGAACCGAGGGAGATAACGACGGGATTTTGGAGAACAGTTATTGCTACAGTCAAGGAACTCCAATAGAGGCATCTAAATATTGGATAGAGGTGTATGTTTAATTTATATTCTTTTACATTTACCTATGATGGCATAATTTATCATCATTCTTTTGTCCTGTCTTTGGTTTATGAGCCTCACACGGGAAAGATAAATTTAGCACAAAATAGCCATAGTGCATTAAATCACAAAAAGAAAAAAAATCCAGTTAATAAGTTCTGTGGAAACTGGACTTAGGACTCACTGCTAAGGTATTTCAGAGCTATGGATCAGTATTTTTTATTACTGCTGTAGAACACAGTCCATCAAACTACCAGTAAGCATACACCAATAGACTAAAACACCTGTAGATACTGATAAATCTACTTAGACTTGAAATGATCATTTGATAAAAAACATAACATTTCTCAAAAAAGACTGTAATATAGGTATAGATCCTTAATTTACGACTTCCATTTAGGGATGGTCTGTGATTAAAGCACTATATTATTTCTTTGCTTTTAGCCCCAAGTAACCCTGCCTGCTTTGCAGTATTCAAACCCACAAGTTGCTGAAGCATCTGGTGCAGAGTGTAGAACATGAGTGAACATTTGAAAATGAGTGGCAAGGGTTTTCTTGGCTCATTAATATTAACAACATTGCCTTGTGGAATCTGAAATTAGGTAGGCGTTGCTTTGTGACTTCCTATTCTCAATAGTCTTGGAATTTTATTTTTTTATGTGCTGTAGATACAGGCTTTATACCCCTGCAAAGAGAAATTACATTTTCTCCAAGACCTTAACTTACAATGCGGCACAGTGGTATGTGTGATAAGAGACACAGGACCTCTGGAAGTATATCTAGTTCCCTGTTGTGATGCCGCTGTTTATCTCATCTCTCTGAGCATGTATTTTTTGAAATGTACTTGAGGAAGAGGCAAAACCTCATGTTAGTGGGTTCAGGGGTTTGAAGGGAATTAAGTGTACCAGTCTGAAAATGTAGAGTAAATTAACTGACTCCATCCTAAAGAGGGGGCTGAGAGAGCTCTGTGTTTTCTCACTAGTTTGACTCTGGAATGGGAAATTTTTCTCACAGCTGGGGGATTTAATAATCTCCTGGCTGCAGGCTTTGAACTGAAAATACACCCTACTATCAGAGTGAGGTTCCTCAGGCCCTAATATGGGATTATGGTAATAATCGCATGGTTTAATAAAATGTTGTTGGGATTTGTGCAGTAGCTGTTCAGACCATGTCAGCATAAGCACTGGCCATGACAACAGGACGTGCAAACTCTCAGCTCTGCTTAGAGCAGAAGGCAGCAGGCCAGTAAAGAGGCAATGTTTATAACAGATGCTGAGGTTATAAGACTTAAGGTTATAGGATGTTTAAAACCAGATTTTTATAAAAGATGACACGGTAAAGTTTTGTGTGGTTTTTTACAGGCTGCACTGCATGTAACAGTGCTGCCCTTTGTGTAGACACTGAGATCTATTTCAGTTCCAGGGGAAGGAAAAGAGTTCTGTTCGAAGGCACTGTTCAAAGTCACAATGTGACATTAACATATAATCAATAATACCATGTAATTCTGGTTATTTTGGTCAAAAATATTTTTCTCATGTGCATAATCTCTCTCTTTTTTTTTTTTTTTTTTGTGTGTGCAGTCCTTACATAATGTTAACGGTTGATTTTTGCCTGCTCTGGCTTCCTGAAGAATTGCTGTTCTTTGTATATAAGTGTAACTACATATGGTTTCCTTACTGGGATTATTAGAAAAAACTATTCTTGAGCAGTGATCAAGCTTGAAGTGAAGGGACTAATTTGATCACAACCTTTTAGCATCTGACTTAACTCTCTTTTTGGGACTGTTCATCCTCTCTGCCTACATCTGCAATTGGTAGCACAGCTGTTGCTGATCCTATGCAGTGGACACTTTAAGTGCCCACGAATATCCTACACTCGGAGAAATTTTTTGTTTAAGAAAAAATAGATGAATTGCTGTAACAGAACATACTTTAGATTGAATTTGTCTGTCTTGTTAGCTAGTACTGAGTACTCTTTAAATTGGTACTGCAACGGATCTTAGCAACTGCATGTGGCTGATGTGGAATTTCTGAACATATGCAATCAAGATAAGCTTTCACTTCACTATAGCTTTGAAATTCTATATAATGATATGAATAAATCATATATAGATTTACAATTGCCTTAATTAATTTTTGAAACCATAGTGATGGGAAAATGTCATGTGGTTCAATATTTGTTTTCCAATCAGCCAACTAACCAGGTGTCTATATATTTCTATGTATTTTCAGTGTGACACAACTGGGACCACAGGCTCAGCTTCTGAGTTTGTCTTGTGCTTCCTGTTGGGATGTATACATATGGATACTCAGAAGTACTATGAAGAAATTAAATAAGATTATTCAGCAATAAATCAGAATTTCTGGTTCTGGCTGGCTTTTAAGTTTGGATCTGCAAACAGTCGAAGATCAAAAGTTGAAACTTCTGTATTTTCTAATTTAATTTTGCATCTCATTCTTCAGATTTCATGAGTATTTTAATGTTTTCCAGATATCAGGACATTTTCCTTCATTGAGGTTATCCAGAGGCATTTAGGAAACCTTATCTATTTTCTGGGGTATTCTAGTCCTTACAGTATAAATCTCACATTTAAACTCCATAGTAAGTCATACCGGCAACTTCTTTTTTTTAAGAAGATTCACAATAAAAATGCCTCTGTGGCATCTACCTGCTTTTAATTTAGAATGTTTTCATACAGTTTCCTTTTTTGCAGTATTACTGGACAAGAGAACCTTGTGGACTTCTTGTCCTTGTAAGGATTTGCAAAAACACCCTGAAACAATGTTTAGTGAGACTATGCTTTGTACTAGCTGAAATTATGTTGGTGAGGGTCGGTAACATGAAATTAAATGACACACACTAAATAGGCTTTGTTGGCTGGCAAACTGGTGGAAAGCGAAGAAAGAGGAGGAGGAATGTTTGGGTAAGGATGACTAGTGTGTAGTAGCAAGCTGACTGTGATTTCAGAGAAAATACGTCTAATTTTGTCTTAGGGAACTCCCTGAATTTGCACCTGGTGTTCCTATAGAAATAGGTATGTCTTGAGTCCAAAATGCTGAAAATTTTAATGGAGTTCCAAGTTTTTCCATGCATTTTTTGTGAATGGTAGCTTTCCGGAAACCATTATAACAAAGATGGAAATGACAGAAATAGTGCTAGAAGTAAAGCTCCACATGAGTTTTCTGTTTCAGCAGGGTTCAGAGTTTCAAGAAAATCAAGCAACTGATAGATGGGTCACATCCCTGCCTGGCCTTAGGGCCAGCTGCCACTCTGCATACATGAATGCACGAGTCATCTCAATGCCTACAGTAGGAGGTAGCCCCATGGGCTAGGGTAACATGACAGCTTGTTGGAAAT